GGTGGTGAGGATTTGTGAACTCTTAGAAAGTGAAATTCACAGGACTTGGAGACAGATGTGAAGTGGGAGATTGAGAGAGGAGTAAGCTGGGGGCTTCCAGGTTTTTGACTCAAGGACGGGCAGAGGGATGAGTGCACTAAGAGAATTTGAAGAGGATGTCAATGTAGCAGGAGGTGCCTCAGGGTGGCCAGGAGGCAGCTGGCTGTTCAGTTCTAGAGATACCTGGGTAGAGGATGAGGCTATCCAGAAAGTGTTCATGTGAGTCAAGGATGGAGGGAGGTGCCAGACAAACTGTTGGGAGCACAAGGAGAGTACATATCATGAAGCAAGAAATGAAGTTTCTGTAGGCTGTATTTGTTGCATTCTGCTGTGTGCTAGACTGGGTCTAAGCTCTTGTGTGTCTGTTTCATCTGTTCTTCTGACAGCCCTTTGTGTTGCTGCGGCTCTGGGGCTCTCTGAGCTGAGGCCACCATACCCAGAAGGGGGGCTCACACAGGGGGCCAGTGGTGGGCCAAGGTTCAAGGCTACAGCTCTGCCGAGACCAAACTCTCCTTATTCTTCCCATTGGTAATCAACACGCTCACACCTTCCCAGATACGGGGGAGAGGCTCCTGAAAATCAGGAGGGGTGTGACCATTGACCTGAGAGTGGAAAGGTTGCCTTAGCAAGACTACCTCTCCCCTGGAGAGAGAGGAGGAAAGATGCTGCATGGGGAGGTAGATGAGGCCAGGTACTGGGAACTGAAGTGGAGAGGGTTCTGGTCCAAAGGATGAGAGTAAGATGATGAAGAGCTGGCTGAGAGTTTAAAGAATTCATAGTTGAATTGAACTGGAACGGTTGATAAAGGGAAGCAGAAAGCCTACAGTGAAAATCGAGCTGAAACTGAGGCCAAGGGTTTCCCAAGGTTCTCGCCTAGGGGATCACATGTCCTAACACATTCACAGGTTACATGCTAATAGGTTCTTTCCCTACATGTCATTGGCATGTGGGAGGTTCTGACGTGGCTCTTTGCCTCTGTCTAGGTGAGGGGCCAGATGTCCTTGTGTACAGCTTGGATTTTGGTGGGCATCTGCGGATGATGAAGCGAATACAGAACCTGCTTGGCCACTATCTTATCCATGGGTTCCGGGTGCGGCCAGAACCTGATGGAGACTTGGACTCGCAAGCCATGGTGGCTGTGTTTGGGAGCAAGGGGCTCCGAATTGTGAAAGTAAGCTGGGGGCAGGGCCGCTTCCGGGAGCTCTGGCGCTCTGGCCTATGGAGCGTGTCTGACTGGATCTGGGATGCACGCTGGCTGGAGGAGAATGTGGCTGTGGCTCTGGGCCACAATTCAGTGGTGCTCTATGACCCCATGGTGGGACGCACCCTGCAGGAGGTACACTGCACAGACAGATGCACCCTCTCCTCAGCCTGCCTGATTGGAAAGACTTGGAAGGAGCTGACCATGGTAGCGGGTGCCATTTCCAATGAGCTCCTGGTCTGGTACCCAGCAGCCACTTCAGAAAACGAGCCCGTGGCACCTGACCGGCGGGTCAGTGGGCATGTAGGTGTCATCTTCAGTATGTCATACCTGGAAAGCAAGGGCTTGCTGGCCACAGCTTCAGAAGACCGAAGTGTCCGCATCTGGAAGGTGGGAGACCTCCGGGTGCCTGGGGGTCGAGTGCAGAATATTGGGCACTGTTTTGGGCACAGTGCCCGTGTGTGGCAGGTCAAGCTCCTGGAGAATTACCTTATCAGTGCAGGAGAGGACTGTGTTTGCCTGGTATGGAGCCACGAAGGTGAGATCCTCCAGGCCTTTCGAGGCCACCAGGGCCGTGGGATCCGAGCTGTAGCTGCCCACGAGCAGCAGGCCTGGGTCATCACTGGGGGTGATGACTCAGGCATCCGGCTGTGGCACCTGGTAGGTCGTGGGTACCCGGGCTCGGGGGTCTCAGCTCTCTGTTTCAAGTCCCGTAGCAGGGCAGGTACCCTCAAGGCTGTAACGCTGGCAGGCTCTTGGCGGGTATTGGCAGTGACTGACACAGGGGCCCTCTACCTCTATGACCTCGAGGTCAAATGCTGGGAGCAGCTGCTGGAGGACAAGTGCTTCCAGTCCTACTGCCTGCTGGAAGCAGCCCCTGGTCCTGAGGGCTTCGGATTGTGTGCCATGGCCAATGGGGAGGGTCTTGTCAAGGTCGTCCCCATAAACACTCCATCTGCTGTTGTGGACCTGACTCTGTTCCAGGGGAAGGTGTACAGCCTGAGCTGGGCCCTACGCGGCTATGAGGAGCTCTTGTTGCTGGCATCAGGCCCTGGGGGGGTGGTGGCTTGTCTGGAGATCTCAGCTGCACCCTCTGGCAAGGCCATCTTTGTCAAGGAACGTTGCCGCTACCTGTTGCCCCCAAGCAAGCAGAGGTGGCACACGTGCAGTGCCTTCCTGCCCCCAGGTGACTTCTTGGTGTGTGGGGACCGCCGAGGCTCTGTGATGCTGTTCCCTTCCAGACCAAGTCTGCTTAAGGTCCCTGGGGTTGGAAGCAAGGCTGGGCCTGGGTTACTTGGCGTGAGTGATAGCAGTGGTGGGGGAGGGAGTACCTCAGCTGAGTGGGGCCCTGTGTCTACACTCTCTTCACTGCATGGGAAGCAGGGTGTGACTTCAGTCACCTGTCACGGTGGCTACGTGTATACCACAGGGCGCGATGGTGCCTATTACCAGCTCTTTGTGCGAGGTGGCCAGCTCCAGCCAGTCCTACGGCAGAAGTCTTGTCGAGGCATGAACTGGCTGGCTGGGCTCCGCGTAGTGGCTGATGGGAGCATGGTCATCTTGGGTTTCCACTCCAATGAGTTTGTGGTATGGAGCCCCCGGTCACACGAGAAGCTGCACATCGTCAACTGTGGTGGAGGGCATCGCTCCTGGGCCTTCTCTGATACCGAGGCTGCTGTGGCCTTCGCCTTCCTCAAGGATGGGGACGTCATGCTCTACCGGGCCCTGGGTGGCTGTACCCGGCCACATGTGATTCTCCGGGAGGGTCTACATGGTCGTGAGATCACCTGTGTAAAACGTGTGGGTCCTATCACCCTGGGGCCTGAATTTGAGGTGCCCAATTTTGTGCAGCCTGACCACCTGGAGCCTGGCAGCAAGGGGCCCGGTCTGATCGACATTGTGATCACAGGCAGTGAGGACACTACCGTCTGTGTCCTGGCACTCCCCACGGCCACGGGCGCGGCCCACGCGCTCACAGCCGTTTGCAACCATATCTCCTCGGTGCGCACTGTGGCTGTGTGGGGCATTGGTACCCCGGGTGGTCCTCAAGATCCTCGGCCAGGCCTGACTGCTCATGTGGTGTCTGCTGGGGGCCGGGCTGAGATGCAGTGCTTCAGCATCATGGTCACTCCGGATCCTAGCACCCCAAGCCGCCTTGCCTGTCACATCATGCACCTTTCATCCCATCGGCTAGATGAGTACTGGGACCGGCAGCGCAATCGGCACCAGATGGTCAAGGTGGACCCAGAGACCAGGTGGCGTGCAGGGGTGTGGGGTGGGGTCATTCAGGGCAAGCCCCATGCAACTGCCCTCCAGCTTACAGGCTCCACCTGACGGCTGTGTTGTTGCTGCAGGTACATGTCCCTCACTGTATGTGAGCCTGACCGGCCTGGCCCTGACCCCCTTGTGGCTGCAGCCTGTAGTGATGGGGCAGTGAGGTAAGAGCATAGTGCCCAGGGGGCTGGGGAACAAAGGATGTGAAGTTGTCCTCAATGAGTTCTGAGCTGCCCCCCCCCACGCCCCCGCCAGGCTCTTTCTCTTGCAGGACTCTGGGCGGCGACTTCAGCTTCTTGCAGAAACCTTCCACCACAAGCGGTGTGTCCTCAAAGTTCATTCCTTTACACATGAGGCACCCAACCAGCGGCGGTGAGAGGGTTTGGGCGAGGGTCCTGCATGGGTTGGGTGGGGCCTCCTGTTGCCCTCCTTCACCCTCATTGACCTGGCTCCCCTTTTCTTCCTCCTAGGAGGCTGCTTCTGTGCAGTGCAGCCACTGACGGCAGCCTGGCCTTCTGGGATCTCACTACTGTGCTAGACCATGGTTCTGCTGCCCTGGAACCACCAGCAGAGCCTGGGCTTCCGTATCGTGAGTAGCTAGTGTGCAATGGGCTGCCCTTCCGCACCCCACCCCTTACCTTCGCCCGTGTAGCAGGCTGAGTCTTGATAAGTATCTTCTTCCCCCAGAGCTGGGCAACCCCTGCCTCACCCTCCAGGCCCACAGCTGCGGTATCAACAGCCTACACACTTTGCCCATATCTGCGGGCCACCATCTTGTAGCCAGTGGCAGTGAGGATGGCTCCCTCCACGTCTTTGTGCTTGCTGTGGAGGTGACAGAGCTGGAAGAGGCTGCAGGGGAAGCTGAGCGGGGACCCCAGCTGCGTGTGCTAGAGGAATACTCTGTCCCTTGTGCACACGCTGCTCATGTGACAGGTCTCAAGATCCTGAGTCCAAACCTCATGGTCTCAGCCTCCATTGACCAGAGGCTAACCTTCTGGCGTTTAGGGCATGGTGAACCCATCTTCATGAATAGTGCTGTGTATCACGTGCCAGATGTGGCCGACATGGACTGCTGGCCTGTGAGCCCCGAGTTTGGCCATCGCTGTGCTCTTGGGGGCCAGGGTCTTGAGGTTTACAACTGGTATGACTGAAGTATCCAGCAGTAGCTGGCATGCTGGGCATGGGGCCTGCTCACGGACAGAGTAGAATAGTGAGTGACTGTCTGCCTGAGCCCAGTGGGCCTTGAGGGCAGGCGGAGGCAGCTGTGGGTTCTTGACTTCAGAGCAGGAGCTGGAGCTGGAGCTGAGAATGCTGCCTGGGCAGACCAAGAATGTACCCCACCCCCGCACCCCACACCAGAATACAGCTTTTTAACAGAGCAATTTATTTTGGCTTCAGGCCCCTAACAAAATTTGTGGTTTTTTTTTTTTCCTCTTCCCCATTCAATGACTTTGTGAACATTCCCAGACATTACGGCCTGGTTGCTTTAGAGGTGGTTCAGTGGAGGGAGGCCCAGCATGGCCAAGCCAGCATGTAGCACTTCACGCACGGCCTGCAGAAGTTGTAGGCGAGCAAACATCTGACCAAAGAGGTGTGGTCGAGGCTCCTGGAGGAAAAGGGGTCTGCTGTTCTCATCCTCTGCTTTCCCTGCCTTTACCCTGTACCTGTCCTGTCTCTCCCATGTACCCCTTCTTGCTATGTGCTTACCCCCAGAACGTGTACACGGTTATAGTATGAGCTGAAGTCCATGCTGAGCTGCACCAGGAACTTGCACACCTAGAGATAGAGATCAAGTCACTGGCCTGGCCCTAAATGCTCTTGTGCCCCAAACTAGAATAAAGACTAGAGTGTATAGTGTCTGGCCTGTTCTACACCTTACCAATTCTGTGCGGACAGTGATGTGGAGCCCTGGAGATGTATAGGCCAGGGCTGCTGTCTGGTTCAGCAGATCCGGGAAGGGGAGGACGCTGTTGAAGAGCAGCAGCCACTCACCCTGTGGGAGAGAAGGGTGCTGGGAGGGAAAAGCCAAGCCCCTGCTTGTGCCAACTCCTCAGGTGGGGTACTCACCTCATCATGCAGCAGTGAGAAGTCCAGGCTGCTCACGGGAGGAAACGGGGGGTACAGGCCTTGTTTCATGCTGTCCTTGTAACTCTCAAAGAGTGTGGCAAGGCGTGCACAATTATACATGACAAAGGTGCCACTCTTGGTGCCCTTTGTGGAAACGCTTCTGTCAGCCAGGGTTAAGAGGAGCTGGGGGACAGGAGCATAGCTGCAGAGAAGCAAGGCAGCCACCACACTCCATCCTCCCAGCCCTGGCCTTGTGTGTCACTCAGGTTTACCTGAGTCTGGGGGGCTGTGCTGAGCATCTCAAATTTGATGGTAGCCACTGAGAGAATCCCAAAGATCTCTGTCCAGGCTGGGTCTGAGGGAGTCAAGCTCAGTTAGTCTCTGCAGACAGGGGATACCACGCAGGGGTACAAATAACTTTTCCCTACCCCAGAGCATAGTTAGTCTCCCAGGTGCACCTTGTGCCAGGTCCCCACCATGCTTGAGTGCTGAGGCCTTGCGTACCTGGGCAAGCCGGAGTCTGTATTTTTAAAAGAAGAGAGCCAATGGGTAGGGTCCCAGTAAAGACTGCACCTTCACCCACCTCAACTACTCAGGATAGTCTTCCTTCCCGCCTCACTCACTCATAGTACTGGGGGGCAGTCAGGGTACCAGGTCCACCAGCTACTTTCACTGGGCCACAGACCAGATGCTTCTGTCAGGAAGATGGCAGGGGCTGAGTCCAGTTGGCACTATTCTTCAGCAATAAGTTCCTCAAGGGGCCCAGATCTGATGCCTCTGCTACACGAGGACCTCCCCAGCCTGTCACCACCGGTGCCCCAACCAAGTCTTAAGCCCAATCACTCTGGACACAGTCTACTCTCCTGAACCTATTCAAGATTCTCTGGGATGTACCTTCAGACCCCATCTCCTCCTGGGCCTCTGTACCTACGGCATATGGCCCCTCACCAACCCCAGTGTTTCTCTCAAGGTCAAATGTCACCTGTACCCACTGGCTATCAGGACCTTGGTGAGCTTTCAAGAACCCTTTGAAATTGGATAGTAAGCTCCACCATTGCTGACCTACCTGTCTGATAGGAGCCTGGGCATCCAGCTTACACCAAACCAAGTCTAACTTTTGTTGTTGGAACTCCTCCTCGCAGCTTACCACATGGACAACAATGCAGCTATCTGCACCAGAACCTGGGGTCCCAGCCTAGAGGGAGGAGAGCAGTCACTTTGGGGACACCAGACACTTGGCTTGCTGGAGGCCTTCAGGGCTGAAGAGTAGCTAACCAGGCCTGGGGAGCTGTCCTCAGGCCAGTTCTGCACAGCATTCTGCAGCTCAGCCAGGGAAGAGAGAAGCTCCTCTGTCACTGCAAAGAAGACAGCCTTGAGGCTAGGGGGAGTGCAGGGTCCCCCCCTCTTTTTAATGGCCCTGCTAGGCTCCAGGTCCTACCCAGACAGTTGTCTAGGTTGGGGTCATAGCCAGCTGAGCGCCCCTGCTCTTCTACCAGTTCTTTCAGGTACACTTTGCCCAGGACGCCGGGGGGCAGGATCTCCCCATCTTGGGCAGTAAAAAGCCCAGCAAAAGCGCGGCTCCTCAGGGTTTCCGTCGCGGCTCTCTCCGTGGCAGCGGGCCATTCCACTCGCAGTTGCTGCAGGAAGACACGCATGTGCAGGTCCTGCGTGGCGGGCACCAGGCGCACACTCATCCTGCGAAGCGAGGGAGTCCGCTTCAGCCAGCGCACGCGGCCCACCCAGCTCTCCCTGTCTTCCCTCTCCCAGCGCCCATTCTGAAAGTGGCGACGCTCTCAGTCCCGAAGTCCTGCCTTCCCCGCGCCCCAGCTCACCCGCGAGCGTGCAGAGCTCGCGCCAGATGATCGGCCACGAGAACCGCACGCAGCTGGCTCAGGCGGAGGGTGCCGGGGGCGCCTCGCAGCGCCGCACAGTGCAGGACGACGTGAGGACCTGGCGAAGCGGGTGTGGTAGGGGCGGCGTAGGCGGCCACTGAGCCGAGAACGCGCTCAAAGACAGCGGGCCGCTGCAGCTGGAGTGCCAGGCCGGCGGGAGTGGGCGCGCAGCGCTGCACTGGGGCAACACCGGGGCCGTGCAGGCCGGCGACAGCAGTGACCACGGATTCGGGTACCTGTGTGGGTGGACGGGCGGATAAGTAGGCCCCACCCCGGCGCCCCCACTACCCGTGGTCCCACGTCTGCGACTGACTTGCGCTCACCTGCTCGTCTCCAAAGCGCGCCTGCAGAGCGCGCCGTGGCGCCAGGAAGTCGCGGGCGCGCAGATGGCGGGCTCGTGTCTCCTTGAACCACACTGGGCCGCCGGGTCCCAGGGCAGCATTAAGGGCCCCTAACGTCTCGCCTACCCCAAGACGCTCTATCGCCATGGCGACCGGAAAAGGAGCGCGCGGAACCGGAAGCAAAATGTCAGGAGGCCGAACTTCCGGGAGGGCTGTTGGCCGGGTGCAGTCTGAACGGACAGGTGCGTCCGAGGGGCCCGCGTTGGGCGCTTCCCATTCGTCTCCCCACGGCGCTCCCTGCACGTCTCACCTTCCTACAGGGTCCTTCTCAGATCCAAGGCTCCTTCGTGGCTGCGTCGCCTCTCATTAGCAACTAGGAAAAGGACCCTCGCGACCTAGTCAGTTCGGATGGGGCTCATCCTAGATCTTTTTCCTCATTGATGTCTCACATTGCATTTCTTTTTCTTGTGTGGTTTCATTTCCCCCATTTTACACGCGATTAAAACATCAAACGTTCCAAATGGGACTTGTCATTAGAATAAGGAATCTAACATTAAGGCCACTTCCCACCAAAAAAACAAATCCACTGCTGTCATTTCCGACTCAGAGAGACCCTGAAGGGCAGAGTTGAACCGCTCGGTAGGGTTTCTAAGGCTTGTACATCTTTAGGAAGCAGACTGCCACATGTTTCTCCCCTGGAGTGGCTGGAGGGTTGAAACCACTGACTTTTTGGTTAGCAGCCAAGTGCTTCAACCACTGTGCCACCAGAGCTCCTTAAAGCCACCTTCATAACTGACTGAAAACATTATGTATTTTAAAAATCGTGTTCTGTGGTTTTGGGTTACTTGCAAGCATTTCCTTGTTGAGATGAGTCATTTTTATTCCCAATAAATTTCTACTCTGATAGAATTGTCGGTTTTCTACTCTTGAAATGTAGGCAGTTTGGGTCATCATTATGGACTTTTCCAGAATGACCAGCTTTTAATGCTTCTCTTGAAAACTGGTGTACTTTAATAGCAATCCTCTTGCTTCCTGTTTTAGGCAACGAGCCATTATGGGGGCAACAATACGAGTACGAGAAGACCCAACTAAACGACAGCCCTCAGCTGGAACATCCATCTCCTCTATCAGCAGAAAGGCGCTTGTGCTGTACAACAACGTCTCCCAAATGCTTTTATAACTTAATTCCCCCCAATTTTTTTTTTTTTTTAATAGATCTATCCCCACTCAGCACAGATAATAGGGTAACTCCACGATCCCTGCCCTGGAGTGGTCGTATGCCCCGATCTCAGAGACCGGGTTGGGTGGGGGCAGGAAAAGCTTAGCAAAGCCCCTTTCTGGGCCAGGGCTATGAAGCCCTGCTGGGAGGCGCCAAAAGAGCACTGGGCGGACACGACATTCCCGATGGCTTCTTGGGTGCCCACTCAACGGGAGTGATCGTGTCATTCCAAAGCGCTTTCCATGCCGCAAGCTCCCGACCCGTGTGCAGATGCAGGATTATGGGCCTGAGTTCGAGCTGGGGACTTCATACTCTCTCGGCTATTAAGACGGTTGGGGTGGTTTTTCCCCAGGAAGTGAAGCGCTATCTTTAGCGAGCTGCGGCGGCCCTGTGGGACTCACCGCCACTGCAGCGCTACACAGAGGACCTGCTCCTGCCCTTAACCCCCGACAGTACTCTTCGAGGTTCCATTGATTATCACTAGCCCCAGGTCTCCCGCGTCTCAACCCTCCACCATCACCCTGAGGGCGCACTTGAGAAGAGACCAAAACAGCCCGGCAAAGTATGTCTGGGGGTCACGACTAGCCCATGATATCTGGGTCAGGACGCTGCTCAGGCAGGAGAGCAGGGAACGAAATCCAAGCGCAGCTGGAATGCTCTGGAGACAACAGCTGCTTTTGGGATTCCGTTGCCCGCTGTCCCGCCGTGGGTATGGCTCCTGCCCCCAGGTCCCTCGCCCTCGTGCCAGACCAGAATCATCATCTATTCGCAATCCCAGGGGGCGGTCCCGGTAGTAGCCGGTAAGAGTCTAATGGGAACGAGGCGCTTTCCCGGGCCCCAGAACAAGGTAAGGGGAGGGGGGGGGCCTTCCGTGGGACCAGGTTCCGATTCGGATTAGATCAGCCAAACAAAATTAGCCCGATCGGCCTCCACGCAGCCGGGGCCACAGGAATGATGGCGGTGACCCAGGGGACTTCAGGACCGACCAAGAGGGAAGAGCGCCCGCGGAGCCGGTGAGGAAATAAATCAGCGCGCCCGCCCCGGGGGCACCTCCGCGACCAGGCCTTTGTCCGGTGACGCTGCCAGCGCTCGGAACGCCAGGAGCCGAATAAGTCCGCATGGCGGCGGCGGTACCTCCATGAGTCCATTGTGGCCAGCCGGCCGACCAACTGCACAGCCCAGCTATACTAAACCGCCCGCCCGCCTCCCGGCCACGCAGGTAGAATGCGGCCACATTCCCCCGAGGCTACGGCTGGGCAGACGCGCGGAGATGCCCAAACACCGCGCGGCCGCCAGCGCGTCTCGCGCCTACAGGCCCTCTGACTCGTCTCAAGATGGAAGCGGGAACTCTCGAAAGATAAGCAGAGAGAGCGAGGCCAGTGCGATGCTCCAGCCGCTGTCTAGTTCAACCTCTAGTCCGGTCCGGCTCGGTTACTCCCAACCGATAGCCACCATTGGCCTTTCCGTCGCGTCCCCTTCCGCTTGATGTGAACGCAGACTTGGAGCCATTTTAAGGTGAAGCCACCGGCCACGCCCCCTCGCGCTCCCGTAAAGCCAATCCACACGCGGCCACGCCTCCCGCGGCGCGCGGCGGCGCCGTCAACGGTCGCGCGAATGACGGTTGGGAAGGGGTGTGATTCGGAGGCAAGGCGGGGAAACCTGAGTCGCCAGCCTCACCCTCGAAACCCGATACCCCAAAGCCTGGGATTAGGGGCTGGAAGGGTCGCACCACGCCCTGGCCAGGTGTGCTGGCCACGACCAGGTGCGCGGCCGCTCCGCCCCGGGTTACCAGAGCCCTTTGTAATGACTGAGAGCCGGGGCAGCAGGCCGCGGCTGGAGCCCAATATGTGCCTTGAGGCCAGCCAAGCCGCCAGGTGTCCCGCTCTCTTGGGACTCCCGTCAGGGGCCCGGGGCGGGGCGGACGGTAGGTGCTGACACCAGAGCTGCGCTGGAGACAGGCCTTCCTACGACAGATGGCACTAGCCTACTGCCCCTTCCCTGGCTGGGCCGGCTAAGCTGCGCTGTGCCTGCCAGGCCGCAGGGGGCGCTGTGTTCGCGCTGGGATTAGCTCCGTCATAACCTTACAGACCCTTCACTGAACCTACGTCGGCCTAGCTTCACGCCGCTTCGTCATGGCTGCCGTCTTCGTGCTTCGGGGTTTGCACTGTGTGCGACCTGTGCTGCGCTGTCCGCCCGCCCAGCTGTGGTGGTGAGCCCTGACCCTGCGCCCCGTTCCCTCCTGCCCTCAGAGACCGGTACCCTCACGCCACGCCTTCCCGCCTCCAATGACCAGCGACCCAGGGCTCCGCTCCCGGTTCTTTGCAGTCCCCAAGGACTGGCGATCCCCCGCCGCACGCCTTGATTCTTCTTGGTTTTGGAGACCCTTGTGCCCCTGACTGTACCCCCTTTGTCAGGGCCCCAGTGCGTGGGCATCGGCTTACGCCGGCAGACGACGAGCTGTACCAGCGGACGCGCATCTCCCTGCTGCAACGCGATGCACCGCACGCCATGTACATCGACAGCTACAACAGCCGCGGCTTCACAATTAACGGAGACCGCGTGCTCGGGCCCTGCGCTCTGCTCCCGCACTCCGTGGTGCAATGGAACGTGAGTCTTGCTCCGCTAGGAGGAACCCGAGGCCCGAGTCAGTCCCGACTCCCTACTTCAGTTCCTGGCAAACTTGGCATTTCTGTGCTGCCCCATAGCGGTGTAGAGGGAGGGTCTGAGGGGAGGCAGCATGTGTTGCTTTTCCTACTGAACCTGCCTCCTTGCACAGGTAGGATCCCACCAGGACATCACTGAAGAGAGTTTCTCCCTTTTCTGGATGCTGGAGCCCCCGATAGGTATGGGGAGGGGAGGAAGCAGGGCTGAGGCACCTAAGTCCCAGAAGGCCACCCACCACCCCAGCCTCTCAGCAGACCTGGTTGCTATCTCTCCCTAGAGATTATTGTGGTGGGTACAGGAGACAGAGCAGAACGGTTGCAGCCCGAGGTGCTACGAGCCATGAGACAGAGAAGCATTGCTGTGGAAGTGCAGGACACGGTGAGGCCCAAGACATGGGAAAGCTGTCGGGAACCCAGGTCTAGCTTAAGCCAGGCTGACACCAGCCTTCTCTTGCAGCCCAATGCCTGTGCCACCTTCAACTTCCTGTGTCATGAAGGACGTGTGACTGGAGCTGCTCTCATTCCCCCACCTGGAGGGGCTGCAGTCACATCTCTGGTCCAGGCTGCAGACCAAACGAACAGGAACTGACCTGTCTAAGAGGACCCTGTCACCTTTTGTGGGGTGCAAGGGCTACCAACATTTTCATTGTCTTCTTCGTCACTTAAAAAGTTAATTAATAATCTAACTGTTCCTCCTGTTTTGTATTAGGTATGTTGATAGTTAGGGGCCACTGGCTCAGTGCATTCTCATTGCAAGGGCATGAAGGAGCCAGTGGGTCCTATGGTAATCCCTGACCTTCAAGAGGCTAAGAAGAGGTATGTTTACCTATTCCAAACACCATTTGCCCGTTTATTCCCATGCAGGTTTGAGGGAACTCGCAGTGTTCTTTCCCCACAAGGTCATTTAGAGATTCAAGTTAGGTAACTTGTATGTAGATGTGGTAGTACAGTGGTAAAATGCTTGGCTGCTAAGGTTGGTGGTTCAAACCCACCAGCTGCTCTGCAGAGAAAAATGTGGCAGTCTGATTTTTAAGAGTTGAAATCTATTCAATGGCAGTGATTATCAGTTAACATATGGCCAACCTTTGGGCTAGCAGAAGTCCCTGTGGATGCCAGTCCACAGCCCCAATCCCTGTCTCATGAGCTCTCCTTAGGGAACCATAAATTGAGATTCTGTGCGAGTCCAAACTCTTGGGAGCCGGGCTGCTCAGAGCTGGCCTGTGGACAGCTTCAGGCAGGATACTTTGAACTCATCCAGGCCCACGGAACACCCTTATCTCAGGGCCTGAGGGTCCCTAGAAATGAAGGTGTTGTATTGCCCCAGCCTGCCTGCTGACCTCAAAAACGAGGCATCACTTTTTTTTTTTTCCAAGTTTTTATTGAAAAATCAAGGAAGAGGATACCTGGATCAAAAAAGCCGCTTCTCATACCTACAGACAGAAGAGAAGGACCAGCTATGAGGTGGGAGCCAGAGAAAGACATGGCAGAGAACAGGAGGGGTGGGGGTGTCGGTCACTTACGAATGGAGGCTGTGGACACCGCCTTCTACCTGAGCTGAGGATGTTCTCTTCTCAAACTTGAGTTCCCCAGAGTACATCATAGCTCTTAATAGAGGATCTGATGTCAAGACATAGGTTGCTGGCCCCGGACCAACCTTTCTCTGCCCATACTTTAACTCCCCATACTCACCGGACTTGGGTCAAACTCTTGGCACCAATGTCCTGACAGGAGTGTTGGATACCTGCTATTAGGTAGGGGACAAATTTGTGAATGGATCCTTTGTCCTGCACAGCTCCAGACACCCCCTGAGCCACCTTGATTTTGTCAGCTTCACTGTAAAAAGAGACCCAGGTATGGGCAAGGTCACAGGAGGAATGAAGGCACTGGCAGGAATGAGGCGGGAGAACTGGCCTGCCTGTCCCACCTGAAATATCGGTTCTGGCTGCTGAGATGCTTGTCCATGGCATCAAGAGAACCCATACCACGGTATTTCTTCAGCCGAATCCCATCAGAAAAGAAGTATTCACCAGGGGCCTCAGTAGTAGCAGCCAGGAGGGAGCCCATCATGACTATGGACAGAGGCAATGCTTGAGATTATAGCCTAAGCAGGAATGGGGAAGAAGCCCCACCAGGCTTCATGGGTGCTGGGTCTTACCTGTGGAGGCACCAAGGGCCAAGGCTTTGGCAATATGGCCCACGTTTTGTATTCCCCCATCAGCAATGACAGGGACACCAAAGCGCCGTGCGTACTCTGATACTTTATACACAGCTGTTGCCTGGGGCCGCCCACAGGCCAGCACTGTTGAGAGACATAGGAACAGATGGGTGGGTATGGTTAGTGGTAACAGGGGCCCAAGGGCCACACTTAGCACCTAGGAGCACTCAGCTACACCTGCACCAATACTGCAGCTGGGCTGAAGAAGAGGTATGTCTGGATTAAATGCTGTTCCATCCATCTTAAACAGTACGAACAGCTGTGCTGGCCTCCACTGAACTCTGCATGTGCACGTGCATGTGTACAGGGCCCAGGGCAGCCTCAGGCACATGCAATTTTATCAACTGGAAAGCCCCACCCAGCTGGTATCAAGTGGGGCAGGGGTCACCGTGCAGTTAGTATTCAGAGGCATCGAGTCAGGCCCAGTCCTCTTCCCTACAAGTTGGACAGTTCAGGCAAGATGAGAGCAGTGGTCATGTGGAAGAAGAGCAGGCTCTAGATTTGGTACTTGAGGTACACCTACTGCACAGAATATAAGCAGAGCAGGGCCTGCCTGGGAAAGAAGCTCCTGCCCTGTGAGTGCCCCAGGAAAAGAGGACTGTTCAGGAGCAGCCCCCAAAACCGTGGTCTGTCTGAGTCTGCACTGCCCACCCATCAGCACCACAAACCCTGGAGCTACAGCTACAGTCAACAAAGCAGCCGGGCAGTGGGCAGCTGGGCCGGGCCAGTGGGCCGGGCCACACTTACTATAGCAGCCCGTGACAGTAGAAGGGCATTTGGGGCTGTGGGACTTTATGTCTGGAGGGATCTTGGGAGCCACTAAATAAAACAAACAGACCAGAGTTTAGAGAAGGCGCAGAGCAGGAGCAAAGAGGCCAGGCTAGGCAGGAGGTGGCAGGTGAGGTGACAAGACCTCATCTTGCTTCCAGCATATCACCCATCCAAGGGCCTATTTGGCTCCCAGACCTGCCCCTATTGGGAGGGACTCGTAAGAGCACTTGGCCCCAGGACAGGTGGGGCTAAGGGCACTGGCCAAAGCCAGGGTTTCTTAGGGACCTGACAAAGCATCTTCTTACCTTCCTGGGTGATACAGATGGAGCCACTGCCCATGCCCACCCGCAAGGCATCCACGCCTGCATCGATAAGGTTCTTGGCCTGAGCAGCAGTCACCACTGCAGAGAGAGAGGGAAGGACTTGTGCAAAACGCCAGATGGAAGCCCAGCTCTCCCACATCGTTCAGTGCTTACTCCTGCCTCACCATTGCCTCCAATGACCTGGAGACTGGAATATTTCTCTTTGATATACTTGATCATGTTGATCTGGAAGATGGAATTTCCCTGGGAAGAGTCCTGGATCAAGGAGGAAGTTTCAGTGAGACTACTGCATGGATGGCAGCTGCCCCTACTACCCTACCACCCTACCTGTGCAGCAGCTCACCAGAACCACTACATCCACGCCAGCCTGGGCCAGCAAGTCCAACCGGTACTTGTCATCTTCGTGTGTACCGATGGCTGCTCCACACAGCAGCTGCTTCTTAGCATCTTTTGAGGCCAGTGGATAATCTCTGTTCTTTTTCAGGTCTGTCCGGGCAATGATGGCCACCAGCTCATCATCTTCATTTACAATGGGCAGCTTTCCTGGGGGCAATGCAGGACATGAGTCAGGGTCTTGGGTTTTGGTTTCGGACCCCTTCCCATCTCCAGGACTCACTCACCCTTCTTGCTTCGCTGCAGAATTTCATTTGCTTCCTTTAACGTGATACCTGCAGGGGCCACCACCAAGTCTTCCCGCTTTGTCATGATCTGGAAGATAAGAAAACTATGAGAAAGGACCAGATGGGGGAATCAGACTTATCCACAGATACTAATCTAATCCAGGGTATCATGCCTGTTACACTGTGAAGAAAAAAGGGCAACAAATAATAATAAATTAGTGCCCACACTGGGGTGACAAAACACAGTATGTACGCTGGCAAGTCTCTGGGCAGTTTGAAAGACTTGGGAAGGGGAGTATGAGAATCCCATGAAGGTTCAGGAACTTGGTGGGGCATCTGTCTTTCCTGGGCAGCAGAGGTCTGCAGAGATGTCATTCAGCCAATGGAATATACCCAACCCCCAGTCTTTGGCTTGGCCTACCACAGCTTGGCTGTGCTCCTCTGCCAAAGACACCCACCTCTTCCAAAGAACGGTCATGCTCCTCCTCCTTGAGAAAATCAATGTCCCGCGAAGAAATGATGCCCACCAGGCGGCTCCCCATTCGGCCCGTGTCCGTGATTGGGATCCCGCAGAAGCCATGCCGGGCCTTGGCCTCAAAAACATCCCGCACCCGATCCCTGGGGCTGAGGACCACAGGGTCTGTGATGAATCCCTGCTCATATTTCTGGAAGAGACAGTAGGAAAAGGATATTTCTTAATCATTTCCTTCAGGGTCTTGGTCTGAAGCCTGGGATCTCAGCCCAACCGCCTCTTCAGACTGTCACAGGACCAAATCACACCAACATGTCAAACTCTTCCCAGAACCAAGGGATAGGAGATTATGGGTGCATTAGAGGCACTTGCTCCTCTGCTGAAGATGCTGGGTCTCAGGCTCTTTTCCTCAGGAACTGAACCCCACAAATGAAAAGAAAGGGTACAAGATCAGGAGCAAAACAATCCCCCCTACCCCACCTCAGTGCTATTCCCAGGAGCTCTTGGTCAGAATCTTTGCCCTTCTGACCTTCACTTTCCGAACTTCATTGGCTTGGAATTCAGGTGTACAGTTGTGGTGGATGAAGCCAATTCCTCCAGTAAGCTTCAGGACAAAGAGAATAATGACAAATAACAAGACAGGTATAATTATCTGTTTTTAGAGAAAATAGATGGAATCCCCATTTCTGCCCTAGCACCCCATGGGGATTACCGCCATTGCTATGGCCATCCCAGCCTCAGTGACTGTGTCCATGGGGGAGGAAACCAGTGGAGTCTTCAAAGTGATCTTCTTGGTCAGTGCAGAGGTTAAGTCCTGAGGAAGTAAGACCCACTAGTGTGATAATGCATCTCATATACCTAAAGGTGCTACCAGAATAACCACAAAATAGATAACCTGCATGTGAAGCACCAAGACCATTCCATAGACATACCCCCAAATCCAATATTGTGAGGTAACCCAGAGAGAAGGGACAGCAGCATCTTATACCAGCTTGGTTGCCCAGGACCCAATTCCTGGCTATACTCACCACCTGGTCTGCAGTGAAGTCGATGTACCCAGGAAGAATAAGAAAGTCACTATAGGGAGGGAGGGAGATTGGGAAAACGGTTCAGGTTTAGGGGAGCCTGAGAATCCAATCCTCATAATTCACTGCATAAGGAATCTGGGCAGGGAGTGGCAATGACTGAGCATATGTGTCATTGGCAAGGCAGAGCACAAAGTGGAGATGGAAAGGGGCCCTTCTTTGCCATCAATCTGTCACGAGTGCTCCTGGCACTCTGACAACTCCATGTGCCCAGAAAACGGGAGTTTCAAACATGAAACCTAAGCACTGCTAGGACGGCTCCCCCACCTTTCAACCTCATCCTGCTCCATATCTGGCAGTACCCGGACACGAATGCGGGCTCCCCGGCACTTGTCCCCCACGCCAGCGCCCAAGGAAAGCCCCCACCCAGCCTCCCTGACCAGCGCGCCGCCCATCTCCTCGCCCAGGTGAGACCGATCGGCCCGCACTTGTAGGTGAGGCCATCCCCGCAGTTGAAGAGCTGCTGTGCCGTAAGTCCGTCGTCTGGCACGTAGGACGTGCCCCCGCTGATCAGGTAATCAGCCATAACAAGCACGGAGCGCAGCCGCGTCTCAGGACCGCGCCGCAGAGGCCGCAGGCCTCTGGGCCGCGCCAATATAAACTCGCCGATACCGTGACGGCGCCGACGCACCGCTTACGTCAGAGCGCAACGCGACCGGGCGGGACCAACTGCGTCCCCGAGACGGGGCGGTACCGGGAAATGGGAGCTGGGGGGGACGGGCGCGTGCGCACAGCCCGAATGCACGTCCACAAAGGACTGGGCTGGGCTTCCTCCGCACCTCTCCTCCCGCTCCTAGCTCGCCAGGGCAGGCCTTTCGCACTTGTGGACTTATGTTAACAGGCACGGCTTTACTTCAACTGTCCCGCCAGGCTCCTCCCCAAATAACGAGGCATTGTTCACTAGCATATTGAAAAGACGTGCTTGTCATTCTTAATAAACAACTAGAGTAAGAATACATAAGAGAAACAGAGTGGTATCTTTATATGATACACAAGTGTATGTTACAAGTACTCCATCAGGCACAAGAGCCTCAGGTTTAAGGCCTCAGTGTTAGGCCAAAAAAAAAAAAAAAAAAAGCATGGTAAAGTTTTTACTTTAACATCTAAAATGTCACTTGTCTTAAAGGGGCTGTAATAGAAATTGTCTTTAATCATAATTGAAGTTCCCCTCGTTTTCCTTCCATTAAGATGCTAAGTCTGTGTCTGAATATGAAGAAAGAAAACAGTGTGGCTCCCTGTGGTCAGCGAGGTCTGCCAGTCCAAGGTGGGACTGGGGAGATTCCCTGGAGCATCCATTCATCATTACTTCCATCTTTCTGGAGGGAGGGAAGAGGCCAGATTTCTTCTAGCAGTCCAGGCCCTTTTCCCAGGCCCCAGACAAGGGGAAAAAAAAGTCAGCCAGCAACTTTCCAGGACATCTGGCTCTCAGGAAACCAAGAGCCCCCCATGGGATGAGAAGGTTTCTGAAGATGCACAGGGAGCAAAGTTTCCTTTTACATTTTAAACAGCAGCAGCCTGGAAGGCTGCACAACTACACCAATAAAAAAAGGAAAAAAGAAAAATGGAGGCCTCTTCTTTAGTGTGAAAGTCTGTCCAGTTCTTCTTGGCAAATCTCCTGTGCACTGTGGTGAGGCAGCTCAGTGCATGGTGCTTGCGTTACCCACAGCAATGGCCTCCTGAATTTCTCGTATCACCAGGATCCGGGTCAGCATCTGTCCCATCTGCTCTCTGCTGATAGGCTGGACCGAGTACCAGATTGGACTGTTGGGGGCCACCACTGGTTCAGGAGTCAGGTAAAAGGTGTCATTCCGGCCTTTTACACTCTGGGGGCTGAAGAACATGTTGGTAAAAGCTGGGTAACACTTCTACAAACTCAACCCTCCCAGACAGATGATGTCTGCACAGCTTACTGAATTCCATGCAGCTACCAAAGGACCTCTACTGGGGCTACTGCAAATGCCAGTGATAGGCTATTTCCTTCCTGCTCCTTTCTGACATGCTGCTAGGTGCAATCTCATCTCTCTTACTACCTATCTAGGGCTCCTCTGGGTTCACCTACTTGAATCAAACCTTATCCTTCTTCAGGTCCATCTTGAAGGACCATCTTCAAGTCTTTGTTCACATCGTTTATTCTACTTAATCCACTGATAATCCCTCAAGTATACCTGAGGGACCCTATCTGCCTTCCCAGCTCAGTGAAGACTCTAGGCCCCTTCCTTAGGCTCTCCCCACCCCCACCGTTCAGCTGTACTTCTCTTAAATATGTAGCATACTCTATCTTCTAACAGTTATTCTACTGTCCAACCAAGATTTATCCAAGAGCTACTATGTGCCAGCCATGTACCAGGTGCTGATGTTACAATCACACAAATACATGCAAAATGACAAAACAGTGTTGAGTGCTACAGAGGAAATAGCCAGGGGACTTGATACAGGCCCAGGGCACAGGCAGAAAATATGGAAATGCTTCCCTGATGAAGTTGTGTTTAAGGTGAGAAGAAAAGACTGCTGAGAGCCAACTAGCCAGAGGGGTGGGGATGAGGGACTTGCCCAATGAGGAAAAGTTAGGAGCCAAGGCCTTGAGAGAAGAAAGCATGGTGCCCTTGAGAGGAGCCAGTGTGGTTAGAGCCAAGAGCTATACGGATGTGAGGTTCACAAGGGGGAACGCACAAAGGTCCTAATTACTGATGGAAGACTTTGTCTTTTTCTGTAAAATAATAGTAAACCACTAAAAGTTTTAAGTGACATAAGTCCTACAACCTAGGAAGATCAATCTGGCATTCTGAAGAAAACAAGCTAAACTTCAGGGGCAAGAGGGAGCAAAAGCTGAGGGCAGAAGTCTCCCTAGATATGAGAGTGGCAGTGATGATGGGTCAGAGTCAAGAAGATGCTGAGTCACCCTCAACGTGTATTGGAAGCAGTCTCTTTGTACCTGTCAGCCCTTGACATGAATAGTCACTTTCAGGGAATAGGGACCCCCTTTACATCACTGTGCTAGACATATTACACATCGTGGGAAAGCCAACCAGGCTGCTTCTATAGTAAACTTTTTGGAGGTGTGATTTTACTCTCCTTTGGGGATTAGGGAATGCTGCTCTCCAGTGACAAGATACACACACAGGTGAGCATCTTCATGTGCATGTGTGCACCCCCCGCCCCCATGGTCACCCAGTCACAATAAGGCCTCCTCACCATTTGAAGAGGTAGAAGTCATAGAGCTTGATGGGACACCTCAGTGGATTCTCTGGATTTTCCGTCTGTTCTGCATACATGTCATCTGTAACTATAAAACACACCCCCCACCACACACATGGCATCTGTCTTAGCTCATGCCCAGATCAGGAACCTTAGGCTCCCAGCTACTTCAATTGGGAAATATTATGGGGAAAAGGGTATGAGGTAGGAGTGGTGGGCTATGAAGGGTAAATGGAAAAGCTATTCTCTCTGGGGACTGGAGCTTCTGGGAGAAAAGCTTAATGTTCTTGGTTGAGGAGTAGAAAGTGGAGCATTATCACCTGGCAATCCTCAACCTTCAAGAGATTACTAGTCTCCCAGGTACAAGGGCAGGGTAAAACAAGTAACACCTGCTTCTGCTGCTTCTGCTGCTCCTGCCCCCTTCCCCTACCTTTCTGGCCAGTCTGGTGTATACCAAGCGCCTTCAGGTACCGGATACTCGTGCTTTTATCCTTGGGATTTGAGGGATTTTTCTTCGTCTGTCGTAAGACTTTGGAAAAGGCCAGTTTCATGTGCTGGTCCACTGTCTTCAATAGGAAGTACCTGGACCGCAAGTGAAAGCAAGGCAGAGGGAGGGGTGCCGGGAAGAGACCATAACTTACCCTCCACCCGTCAATGCTTCAGATAAGCTGCTGCCCACACTCAGGATCTGGGCAGGCCCACACCCAAGCACACTGTGCAGTGGAGGAGCCACATCCGGACTGAAGGCAGGGGTCTGACAAAGCTGTCTGCCCCACTGGTCACCACATAAGATGCAGCAGCCAAGTGGGGTTGGGGGCTTTCAGTAGACCAAAGCCTCTCAAATATGTGTCAGAGGAATCCAGAAGTCCTCCTGGATAGCGTCCACCCTCTTCACTGGGCAGAACCCAGCAGTGGCTAAGCATGGAGCCTCCAGAACACTTACTTGGTGTTAAAGAACATGAGGGTAGTCAACAGGGTGGAGGGGGAGTGAGCCCCAAGCTGTTTGCACTCCCACAGCATCTCCTCAGTCACATGGCTGGGCAGGACATAGCCTAGGAGGAAGAGAGGACTGCTACAACGAGAGGATGGCAAAAGTGCTAGGCTACGAGGTGTGAGGCGCAAGAACCACTGCAGGAATACAAACCTAACAATGGAAGACTCCCTAGAGTGTGGCAGAGTCAGCTGGAAAGCTTGTTAAAACACATATGGCTTGGTCCCAGCTTGAGTTTCTGAAGCACGACCTAAGAATTACATTTCTAACATGTTGCCAGGTGATGCTAACACTGTTGCCTTGGGGACCACAGTTGAGGGCACACTGCCCCACAGGATTGCTTTTATCTGCCATTAAATTCTTCCTCTAATCCAAGATTAATATAAGGCAAAAGGATGGCCCTGAGGGAGAGTGAAACACCTAAACCTGCAAACTAAACTCTGCATATATGAACACTCCTCTGGAGAAAAGGGTACTTCACTTCCACCATGTTTTCAAAGATATTCAGGGCCCAGAGAACTGTTATATACATCCCTGCTTCCCCTTGTCAGACTTATAATGTCTACCGTATCTAGAAGCCAGTTCACTCTCTGGGTATCAGGAAAATTGACATTCAAGACTATTAATACAAGTTTCCCCCACAGGGCAAGTTTTATTGCAAAACCCTAGTTCCTAAGTGGTTTCAAAGCTGGACAAGAGCAGACACCTGTGGTTTGACCAAAGACCATGGGCAGCCAAGTCTGCTACCAAAGAAGACAGCACTTGGGTTGACTACCAAGCCCTCTTCTAGTGCTCATTCAATAGTCAATGAGCAACTGTTTGTGCCAAGCAGGTACTGGCAACATGGTGACAGCACCAGAGACCAGCATTTCCTGCAGGGGTTTCAGGATTCCCAGGCAAGCAGTGAAAGGTGCTACTTCTAGAAAGCAGAAAAAGAAACATTCTAACCAAACTATCCTTCTTTCCTATTCTTGCCAAAGCTGGTCTTTTGGCTCCATCAGCCCACGCTGTCTCTTTAAGCCAGCTCTGGTTCTACTCTTGCCCACCCTTTGGCTATTTTTTACTCCAGTAACAATGAGACAAGACAAGCTGTCCCACATCTGAAGCCTCCAAGAGGCAAGATGAGTGGCAGAAGACAGCCCTTCGTGGGAAAGGTCAGCTCCTAGGAGTGATCCCAGGGATACCTGGGCATGGCCTACTTTTTCTGGGGTCACTCTACCACTTCTTCCTGGTGTCACTTCCCTAACTTTACTCTCCTCTCAGCAATACAATTTAAAAGCGAACTTTAATGTCCAAGAACCATGACTCCTGATGAGGGAGAAAGGAGACATAAAGAGAGATGTTACGTAAAACCTCTGTAGTTCTGAATCTGAACTGCAAGCATCAAAAGATATATTTTATCTTTAATTTTTTTTTCT